GATAGGTATGAGGCGAGATGTGGAAGAATGGTGCAGAACATGCAGTACATGTTGTGCTAAAAGGGGATCTAAGCATAAGGGACGTGCTCCAATGAAGTTATATCAAGTTGGTGCACCAATGGAAAGATTAGCCATCGACATTGCTGGTCCTCTGCCCCAAACTCGCCCACCTTATGAAGAGTTGCCTGAGAATGTGTCAGGGTTTGTGAAAGTGTTATCGGAAAGGATGGATGATATCCACCATCAAGTGCGTTCAAACTTGAAAACGTCTGCTGATTCGATGAAGCTATCTTATGATAAGAGATCTACTGAAGTCAGCTTTGAACCAGGAGACAAGGTGTGGTTGTATAATCCCAGGAAGACCAAAGGGAAGTCTCCTAAGTTGTCTTGTCCATGGGAAGGCCCATATGACATAGTGGATCGTCTCTCAGACATGACTTTCTGGATAAAATGCTGTCGGCGAGGTAAGCCAAAAGTGGTGCATGCCAACAGGCTTTGGCGTTATCACGGTCCAGGACATTTCAGTTGGGACAAAGTGAACAACAGAACAAATGACGCTACTGAAGATGTGTCACCTGAAAAAGCCAATGTTGAAGAAGAAACTCTACTCAGTTTTGAGAAGGGAAACGGTGAAGCTCTTGATGAAGTTACCACTGATGTGACTGTTACCGATGATAGGACATTTACTGATGAAGCAGATGAACCCCACATGAAGCAGAAGCCAACGAGATGGAGACCAGTACGGAAGAAGATACGTCCCGTAAAATTAAGAGACTTTGTTGAATTGTAATTTTGTGTTTGTAATTCTGTACATTTAATTAAGTTATTATTAATTGTTATTGGTTTATTGTAAGTGGCTATTGTTCGGGACGAACATTACTAAGGAGGGGCAGTGTTGCGTCAGCGAGATCACGTGACTAGTATCACGCCACGCCGTTCTCGAACATTCACATCCTTTCCTTAAATCTCGGGATCCTTCTAGATATAGTGTAGTCTTGTATATATAAGACGGTCACAAATTGACGCCACGTGTGTGTAATTGAACTGAGTATTGTTGAGGTGAGCACGTGAGACGTTCGTTGAGAATTATAGCGTTTCTTATAGCACGACTGTTGAAATTAAGTGTATCGCAAAGTTATATTCAAAAAGAATAAACCAGTTTTATTTAATAAAGGACTTGTGTCGCTAAAGTTTCGTCGAAACGAATTTACGGAAAATTAACTAACGAACGTAACAATATTTATGTTCTTCTCCTTTAGTAAAAGCTTTTCACATTAAACCAAAGCAGCCATTTATTTCAGATGTCACTTCAATATTTTTCTTTTACTATTTATTTTATCAAGTGAAAAGAGAGAGTAAAACAAATGGTGAACGCACTGCAGTGTATTATTTATGAAATGATCATTATATTATATACGCCGTTCTTTCCTTTTAGTTACAGTAAGTTATATTTGGAAATTGTGTGAAGGCACTAAAATGCCTACCACAACTTTAAAAATGATAAAAGAAAAATCATTGCTAAACGACATATTGCACTATAACAATGGCCTAGTGTTCATACGAAATTAAGGAAGAAGCAAAAACATCTAACCAGTAAGGGCTGAGAACAGGGATCTATGTGTTTTAGAAATCTCCCGTTGCTGTGACAGAAGTGTTGGTGATTTTCAAAACTAGTTGAATAAAGTTCTGCTGACATTGTTTATGTACTTCAAGATAAAACAGCTTGTTAAAAAGGACAACATCGGAAAAACGAGTTTATTTCCTTAAAAGCAACGTTTCGCGTTATTATCGTTCTTCGGGTTAAGAGTTGATGTGGTTTTAAAGCAAGGTAACAGAATAGGATAGTTTGTGCTCTATCTACCGCGCAGAATAGAACCTCGGATTTTAGCATTGTAAGTATCTAAACTTCCCACTGACCTACCTAGGGTCCAGATTAAGAGGACTAAAAAGAGATAAAATCAGATCGTGTAACGATTTACTTGAAGTTTATGTTACATTTCCATCAATTGAATATTTTCTAAATTTATGCACACATTTTTATATATAAATATGAAAGAAAGTCGAATTATAAGAATATGATTAGTTTTCTCCACAATATTCTCTACAATATACTAATTTTCTCACAGACATTCGCGGCTGTTGAGGCATTTTGATTGGGTGATAGTGATATCATGCCATGCGCACTTTGGTATTTCCTATTGGCTATCACTGACATCATATGTAGCTCATTTTAGCAAGTGATGTAAGATTTGTTAGACGTAATATAATTCAGTTATGAACTATGTCTTCATAACAGACAGATTGATTGGTTCTGAGGTTTAAAATCTTTACTATTAAAAAAAATCGATTATATAATTATAATATTGAAACACACATCTTATATTTTTTAAATCATGTATACGTAAGCTTGTAATTTGATGTCGTAACAGTAACACACACATATAGACCCGCCGAGATATAGTAAGTTGAAATTAGAATCAGACTCCAGAGAACTGAGTGGACTCCTTTCCATGACATGAAGAAAGCTAACACATGTACAGGTAGGTTATAGTAATTTTACTCTTTGAGTGGGCGTATTTATCTCTGTACATGTGGTGTGTGAGTTTAAGTTGTTCTTTAATAACACAAGATGTAACTTGGCCCAAATTTCTGTCTCTAAATTTAAAACTAATAAATGTTTAACTGATTTTAAGATCGTACTAGTACTTGTAGTACTAGTTAGTTATTTCACATATTTTACTAATTTCACTTGTAACTTATGCAAGTTTTAGATTAAAACAAATTAATAATTGTGAGATGTAATTCTAAGTAGACTACAATGACTTGTTATATTGTACAGTAAGCTTATTTTTGTAGCTCAAAAATAAACAGAAACTGCAAAAAATAATAATACAGCATAAGAATATTTTAGATGTAAGGATACAAATTACAATGTTACTGTTAGACATTGAGATTGAATTTAACATAATGATAGTTCATAGGTTTGTTTGAACTTGAAGTTGGAAGTTCAACTCTTGGTACTATTGATTTTTATTTAATGAATTGTATGTTGTACAAATAATAATATATATGTGATAACTTACACTAGTTACAGCAGAGAATAAGTTAAGCAGTATGAAATTCACACTCATTATCTCTTAAAAGACCATCTACATTGACATTAGACATGAAAGCCTCAACTCGATATCAGTCTTTTAAGTTTCCAACTTCTAAGACAAGAACCTTTTTTCACACTGCTATTGACAATAATCTGAATAAGCTAATTTCTTCCATTCAGTTTTTATAATACTAAAATCAGACAAACAATGATAATGACGTGTTAGACATTGAGTTTATTAATGATAGTGCATAAGTTTCTTTGAACTATTGATATTTTTGACTAGAGCTTGAAGATCAGTAGAATTTGCTAATCAATTAATTGTTAAACCCCTTAATCAGTCACATTTAACTAATCTTCCTGTTTTCAGCTTGTATGGATTTTTTATCTCTGCCACAAAAGGTGACAAAGGTTGTATTTTCACACTTGTGTGTGTTTTTGTCAGCAAGATTTCTCAAAAATGACTGAATGGATTTGTTTGAAAGTTGGTAAACATTTGGACTGTGACCCAACGTAGAAGTGATAAGTTTTTGAAGGATCAAGGTCACAGCAAGGTTGCATAAATAAAAAAATCCATATCTATTAAGATGTGAATGGATTTTTCAAACAATCTTTGCTTTTTGACTCAGTCAAAAATGATCAGATTTTGATGTATTTAATGGACATAGAATATTATGATCAGATTTTGATGTAACTTAGTAGACATAGAATATTGTTCCTCATTGTCCTGCCAAAAATGGTCCATATCCATTGGTAACAACAGACATGCTGACACATTTTCATATTTTTTGAGGACCAAATATGATCAATGCTGCATGGAGGAGGTATGAGCTCTACAGAGTGCCCCTCTAGTTTGAAGATGTTTTCACACTACCCATCAGGTAGACCTGAACTAACTCAGTTATAATTTGTGTCTTTTTACTTGAAATGAATTGATTGGATTTGAGGTTTAAAAACTTTGCTATTAGAAACATTTCAATTTATAATTATAAAGTCAAAACACGGTAAGTATAAAAAAACATCATAAGCTTTTGAGGGAGAAGTTACTGATTTGGACAAAAGGCTAGGAAGAACCAATTAGAGCACATTACAGAAATTTCAATTTTTTTTCTAATTCTATCATCAGTGTCAAAAAGTGAGGTTGCAGTAATTATCTGTGCAAACCACACTGCAGTAAAAGTTTTATCTGGAATCTCCGCATCAGAAAAGCCTTTGTAACTCAAAATTTCTATATCTTCAAATACAAACGCTAATTGTAGTTTAATGGCACCTCTGTGGCTTTATATATGTTCTTTTCTGCTAGCAACTTTCAGTTGTTAACTGCCTTTACTGTGATTCACATTTAAAACACTTTATATATATATATTTTATTTATACAGTTTAAGGTTGTTGTTTTTTACATTTATTATTGTTTAAGATTGTTACTGTCATAGATGATGTAGAAATATTGCACTATAGAACATTAACAAGCTGTCAAAATTTTTCTAATAAGATATTCTAAAGGAAACACTTTCATAACTAGAATTTTTCCCTATAGGGCACTGCCCAGGTCTGACAGATGCCACATAATAAAGTTTTTACTGTATTTTAAATTTTATTTGCAAAGAAACATTCATGAGAAGGTAAAATTAAAAATTTGGTTCATGTAGTGAAGTTTTCAATAAAAGAGTTTGCTGGTAAACTTTGTGTTAAGCTACATTGTTTTTCTTCATTAAATCATGTGTGGAATACTCATTTATAATCTCACAAAACTTTGTGTTCCAGCATTTATATACAATGTCAGTATCCAATGCAGATAAGTGACATAAATTTAAGAAATGGGTGTGATTTTTATTTATGCTGGTGAATAGTGAAGTTTTGTTATATTGCATAGTAAGCTTAACTTTGAGTTTTAAGTTTTATAACACTAAAGGGAGGAACAACATAAAGAGCAAGTTACCCTTCACCCAACAAAATAAGCAACCAAGACAAAAAGGAGATTAAATGTAGCCCTTCACATTCATTTACTTATCCAACAAAAGTTTTAATAATTTCAGATTAACAGCACATGCCATGTCATCAAGTAAACCATTCCACAAATTAAGTTTGTTGAAGAATAAGTGCACCTAGGCCTGTTATCCATAATATTTGTGTTGATATTTCTTCCAATGAAACAAATTCATAGTAAGGCATGCTAAAAAGCAAAACAATTTTTGACTAATCAAGAAGTCTCAAACTGACCAAATTTTTTAAAGGTAGGGAGGATTTTTCATCAAAACATAAAAAAAGGCAAGATGGCTGAAGGTCTTTCTGCCCAGTGAGTCCATTGTTAAATAAAAAATAATTCAATTTTTTATTAATCACCTAACTGTTAAAATGCGGTACAAAAATCATTTAAAAAAACAATTTTAGCAGTTGGCATTTAATTAACAAATCTAATCAAGGTTTTAATTTTTTCTATTTTATCTTGAAGTTTTCAATACAGCTTCTGTTTTTTCTTTTGAATATCACTGTTGATTTTGTATACCTTGACTTTTATAATGTTCTGGACAAGATGCCATCCTAGATAATAATTAATAAGATGGATTTTATGTAATTTATGGAAAACTAAAGAAGTGGAATAAAAAACTGGTTAAAGGATAGAAAGAAAAGGGTGGTTTGTAAATATGTATTTTCCAAGTGAAAGAATATCACTGAAGTAGCCTCTGACATCTATTTTTTGATAGTTGTATAAATAGCAATATTTCAGAATTTGTTAATGATAAGAGACTAGAAAGAGCTAATTGTAATTGAGATAGCTTGTTAAGTAAAAAAGGTTTTTGTATTAGGGACTTTGTTATAATTTGAAAGTGAAAGTACCAATATCATTAGGTTCCATCTAACTGATATTATTATGTTAACTTTGCAAAACTATTAGTGATGAGTAACTAACTGCCAAAGAAATTTGTCTTGTAGCAATGACAAGTGCTATATTACACATTACAGATTGTTTATAACCTCTTAGCATCCACAACAAATATTTGGCAGCAAGTTTCACTGAAACTGTTCAATAATGGTGACTTATTATCTATGTAATAATAAATTACTAATTTTGTATGAAGAACTTCAATAAATATCATTCAAAGCTGCTATTAGAATACACATGTATGTCAGAAAAGTATACCAAACTTCAAAATGGGAGGGCTAGGCCTATAACTTGGTGCTTTGAAACCACTACTGTATGTGAACCAAACCAAATTTACAAAAATTATCATTCTAATGATACTCAGCCAATGGATAAGCACAGTTTTTATTTATTATGTTAAGATAGGAAAAATAAGTTGAATGAAGTGTTACTAGAATGATTTTTGTTTAAATAACCTAGACTAAATATATGAAGCAGTAATTAAGAACTTGATTTAGAAAAGGTAAAAATACAAACAAATCCCATATTGTGTGAGAGCTATATAGAGGGAGAAAGACTGGTGTAATTATTAAGTGGCCAGTCACGGGACCCAAGCATGTTGTGTGACCTGTCTATAGAAATGTATATAGCTTAAGAATTAATTTTAATTATGGTGTTGAAATAGAAACTTGAACTAACTAATTTTTTAAAAAGTAGCCCACAACTTCATATTTTACTGAATTACTTACTTGTAGAAATGTATTTAAGTTTGTAGGATCGTATGCTTGAATACATGCTGTATGTTGTTACCTTATATTTGTTTAAAGTTTGTTAGGTATTTTACTGTATATATGTGGAGTGGGGGTGCAAAGCACTACATTTAATAACTGCACTAGGATATTAAAAATTAATTATGCTATAAAGATGTATAAACTGCTTTTGGGAGAGAGGAATCTTCAGTGGGCATGACATGCTTTTTGTGTAAGAGGAATATTGGTGTAGGGAAACAGTGATGGATTTAGGTGCAGTAGTTGCTAAAAGCTTAAAGCCTTCATTCAGAAAACAGGAACTAAGAATTCTGGGATTTATGTATAAATATTGAAGTTAAGGTTCAAATAGTATTTGGGTTATATGCATATATTTAACTTTGTTGAGGTTTGCAAATTTTCTCTCTCTTACATGTACTATAGGAAAGATGTCAACATGTTGCAAAGAATGGTCTAGTATAATAAAACGTATTTTAAGCCATTGAAGCTTGGAAGAGAGGCTTATGAATTGTGATTCACATAACCAACATTTTTGGTTTTTTATGTTTAATTAGAAAAAAAATTCATAACAACTTCCTACCATTATGAATTCTCAAGTAACAATAACTTCCACATTATCCTGTGTTAGTGATGATATCGTTTACACAGTACCTATGGCTACTAGAAGCTTGTTGTCTGTGGAGAATGTGATAGCCATTGTTTACATGTTGTGGGACTCTTGCTTCCCTTGAACCACTCCTTACCTTAGGGTGCACACACAAGTACCTCCTCCAGTGGTAATTGTGGGACCAATGAAAGCTTTCTTGGATCTGT